AATTGGTCATAAATCGCATGACAATGTTCATTAGTTTATTATGTATAATCAAGCGCTATTGTCCCATGGTACAATGAAATAACATTATTTTGTGTGTTACACACAAATCATGATCCACGTTAATTATCACTCTTGTGATTGAAACAGCTCGCCTAATCACTCGCTTTACTGCATTCTGCAGAGCAATTCTCAGAATACAACCAATGCTTCACAAAAATTCCTATTATTATTATTGTATTATATTATATATAGCTTCTATGGGAACATGCAATTTGGCTAATATTATTTTCACCCTAGGAATGCCTAATGATCTGTTGAACAGAGAATCAAATCAGAATTACCAAGCCCTGGTTCACTACTGGGTTGAACAAGAGGTCACATATTTATCAAGTGGGGGTGAAATATTTAGTTATTCATAGAATGCTTACCAATACATTAACATGTTACACTCATTGAGCAAAGCATATTTTGCTCTTCACCCTAGAAACATTTATATTATACAATATGCACCAGTTTTTAAATAGGAAACCCTAAAGTACAATATAAATACACGTATTGTATTCAACTATGACCTATGCTTCCACTACATGTGCCTCTATCACCATGTAACCATGAGACAACATGGAGATAGAGGCACATGTCACAATCCAGTAGTTAGTGGTACAGACAATGGATGCCATTGCACATAAACACATAGAAGTGGTGGGCGTATACATAAACACATGTATATAAAAACACCAGTGTTATTGTGAGAGTGGATATATTGGGTTGTATTTGATTTGATTTAAGGGAGCATTACAAATCACAGTGAAAACACACTCAAATCAGATATGTACTAGATAAAACCCTGCATAAAGGTCATATCTTCCAAAAGAATGAACCAATTGAAAAATGTTTTACAATTATAGTAAGGAAACCAACCAATTAAATTTGGTGTTACAAAACATTAAATTAAATCTCTCATCAAGTCCACATACAGTATGTATTTCAGAATTAACAAAACATACGCCTATACTCACCAGTATGGAAGAAACAAGCAACATAACACACAAAGGCTGGTTGCTTCCCCCTCAATTATAGCTCCCCCCTATGGACAACTCTGAATGAGGCAAAGTAGGCCGAGATCAGAACCCCCTCCCCACAATAACATTAAAGCCCCATTCACAAACACTAACCTGCTATTCAACCAGCCATAGAACTGAAAACATCCCATAATATGCACCAGATTGACCTCAAGGTCACCCATCTAATTAACATCTGCTTTGCATCCTAATTAGCATTCATTCTTTTCTGCTGTACATGTACATGAATGCAATGACAACATCAGCTTTTAAAAGAAGCCTGGCCTGTACTCCAGTCAGTGTTATAAAGTAAGTGACTAATTCAGCAGAGATACCGGGTAATTAGAAATGCATATACATTGTCAAATTTATTTACTTTTTAATGATTTGTTCATAATATTTCAAATGCTATATTATTATTGTTACTGGTGCGTTATTAACGCCGACAAACTACGAGTTAACCCTGTAAACACCAGAACATTTCCTGTGCTGCAAGATAAAGAATGTTTTTTCTTGGAATGGATTTGAAACTAGATTAGAAGCCTTGTAAGTCTGCATAGTTAAGTTTGGAGTCATCACTTTCTCATCTTACAGTACAAATTGTAGAGATGTAAAGCTAAATACTTACCACAAAAACAAAGATGAGAACCCTCTTTTACAGGGAACATGATTGCCAGCTTTAAAATGCAATAAATGCAGACTTCAACAAGCCTCTATTCTACTCCAAAAGTATATAAACATGTGCATCTTTGACAACAAAGTGTTTATCAATTTTTACAATAACATTCACATCAACTTACTTAAAGATGCAAAATAGATGAGACCATGTAATATCTTATCTGATAATGTACCTTCTCACAGAACTGATTTTGATTTTGTCTGGATCTTAAGTCAAAATGGAATCCCAAAAAATTTGGTCAAATTTATTGAGGCCTCCAAGATAAATAAAAATTGTATGCACAAACTAAAATGTCATTATTTATAATTTCCTTTGAATTGTATTTTACAAAATTTCCAAATCCTTAATTATAGTTGTTTTTTGTCAAGATCACTATGTGATTTTTCTTTCACGAAAAGTCTCAAGTGGCGTGTCATAATGACTTAGATGACATACTGGACTATGATTTATCAAAAATCGCAGTTTTTGTGGAACACGACTATGGGTTTAGCAAAATAACATTTTCTGATGCACATGTTTTGGTACAATAACACTCACTACACATGCGTATTACTATGTTTCATCAAATGAATACTAGGGTGTGCTGCCATGTACATTCAGTGTATGCTTAAGTTGTGTTGTCTTTTCCAAGTCAGTAAATAGGCACAAGCCTGTATACAAGTAGAAGTGGGCAATATAAATCTTCAATCTGATGAATTCTGGCTAAATAAAAAAAAAAATATAATTCACTTTGGCTACCTTGTTTTTATTGATATTGCATCTTAAAACCTTTTATGATTCCATTAATTCATTCCTTGTGGAATCTACTAGAATTTATACCAATAACCACCCCAACCCCCTCCCAGTTTGGACAACAAATGTGAAGCATGTTTACTTATAATGAGGGGTATATTATACACGATAAAGGTATTTATGGGCACATGTGGTAGAAAAATTACTAGCTGACGTCATCATAGTACCTTTCATTATACGATCAGGGATCGAAATACCCTGGTGCACACTGCACTATGCACATAGATTATTAGCTCGTGCAAGTAAACTCAAAATATAATGTGCACGCTGTGCATGTAGAAATTAACACACCATTTTGTCATTATATTGACTAAGCCTAAATTAAGTTCAACCAACATTGTGAGACAACTAAAAAAAATCAAATTCGTTCAGGATTGCATCAATCGAGAACCCGTTAAATTTTATTAGTCCCCGTTCGGACGTAGTCCGAAAACGGGGACTTATGTTTTGCCCTGTGTGCGTCCGTGCGTGCGTCCGTGATCACCTGTATCTCGAACATGCATGGACCAATTAAGTTCAAACTTCACTCATACATCACACATTATATGGGACATATGCACATGCATTTTTTTCATGATCCGATTAACGATAGCCGAATAGCGGCCATTTTAAGTCCGAAAATGCATCAAAATCACACATTTTCACCATTCCGGACCCGGATCTCAGTTATGCATGGACGGATTTCGTTCAAATTTGGTACATACATTAAACATAATAGGACCTTGATGCACATCATTTTTTTTTCGGATCAAGTTCGAAATGGCCGACTGGTGGCCATTTTGTTTTGAAGATTCAGTTCTGGATCCGTATCCGAGACATGTCTGGATTGATCAAGTTCAACTT